CATTAGTAGAATGTCAGCCTATTAGTAGGCTGACATTCCTAAGGCAATGTCAGCCTACTAATATTTTACTCCGTATCTACCTGTGATTCCTGGCATCACTAATAGACAATTCCAGTTGTTTGCCACATTGATGAAGCGCTAGTTGTGTGATATTTGGGGTTTAAAATCACTAAAGTTAAATTCAAATCCTACTTACAGCTGACTCTATGGGACAAGGTGTCATGGCCGCTTAAGACCTCTGTAGTCAGTCACTGTACACTTGTTTACAAGATTGCAGAGTCTAGAAAGGCTCGTAACTATAAGTAAATACAATTAAAAATATAAATATAGTCAATATTTATTAGTATATAGTAAATATTTGTTCCTCTAAATATAGTAAATATCTAAATTATTATATGTCTAGGAAATAAACATATGTTTCATAAATGCAGCTTATGTAATTTTTCCGCATGTGGGGCCATGTATGTTCGTGCCACCTTACGTGATAAGTCTTAGCCCATTGATTATCAATTGGTCTTGCAGCGAGATATACCTGCCATGACCAGACCACACATCAGAAAGTGAAGAGACGATGACGTTTCGGTCCGTCCTGGACCACTATCAAGCCGTATCTCACACGGCTTGATAATGGTTCAGGACGGACCGAAACGTCGTCGTTTCTTCACTTTCTGAAGTGTGGTTTGGTCATTATATCTTCAACCACGTTGCGACTCATCGTCTGCCAGATATACCTGCTTATTTTCGATGAAATAAAGCATATACATACCACTACCACTTAGCAGCCACTGTTGCCTCACATCACTGTCACAACAATTACTGCCAGTTGGAACCTAACTGGTAGAGCAGTGGGCAACTAACTGTTGGAGCAGTGGGCACCTAACTGTTGGAGCAGTGGACACCTAACTGTCAAGTCGTCTTAATGAACCCTAACACGTCACCACCCAAGATGGCCACCAAACGTGTTGACCCACTGGCTCGAAACTCAGGAATTATCTACTAGGAGGCTTTCACTATATTATCTACTCTCACTCTTACACTCATGTATCTACTGCCAGGCTTTCACTTAATTATTTGCTCTCAGATGTCACTATGAATTATCTATTTTTTTATTTAAAATTTTACAATTTGATATACAAAAAAAAGTTAAAATGCAGCAGTGGCGCGGGGGGGGGGGGGTAGAAATAGCCTAAGCTACTCTATCCCTTTGAGATGTATTTCTTTCTTATCTTAATAAACATACTTGAACTTGACTCCCAGACAAGAGAGGCTGTGTAGACTATAACAGAAATAAACAACAATATTCCTTACGGCGAAATCCTACTCCTCGGCAAAAAGAGTAACAGATCTTTAAATCACCAAAAATATGCAATTGTTCTCACTCCAGTGTTATTAGATCATCATATTATCATAATGCTCTTCCCCACAAACGACAAGCATTCTTCGCCAGCTTGCTCGCCAAGTCACACTCAATGCACCAACAGACTTATATTATCCATCTTTCAGCCCGTCCTCATCAGCAAGTACGAGTATATATAACATTAATAATTGTGTAACTAGCGTCAAAAAGATTGTTATTTGCTTAGCTAAACGAAGTATTGGGTTCTGTTCCTGAAGCAATTATGTATCTCTGTAACCCTTTACACCACCGCCCACAGGATGGGTATGGGGTGCATAATAAAGAAAGAAATTGAATCATTCCAACCTATCCTCAGGCCAGCCTCGTTAAAGTGGCGGCCAACCCCTCCACCTCCTCCGCCAAAGATACATACATCAATTTTAACTTTATTAAAATATGTTTGTTCTCATATACAAGTTAATTTTATTATATATTAAAGATCTATGTATAATCAGGAGTGGGTTAGGTTAGGTTAGCTGTTTAGGTTGGTTAGGTTAGCTTATGTTGATTATTTGTATCACGTGGGGAGCGCTGTAGCCCGTCCTCCATTCCATCCAGCGGTCGACCCGAAAGACGCATTCGTCAATTTTAACATTCTGTTCATTCAAAACAAAAAAATATATATAAATTAATATTATTATATATTAGCATATTGTGCATATGTAGGCACTGGTTCGGTTGGGTTAGGTGTTCAGGTTCCGCTCTGGACAATCTAAGACAGTTCCCCTACACCACCACCTACAAGCTGGACACTTTCCATACACCTACCCCACATAAAAGCTAACCTAGACACGTTCTTGCAGCAACACCTACAAGCTGGACACCTCGAAATCATCCATATCCACAGGCCCCTGTGGACCTGTGGCTGAGTGGACAGCGCTTAGGAATCGTAAATCCTAAAGCCGGGGTTCGATCCCGGGCGATGGCAGAAACAAATGGCCAAAGTTTCTTTCACCCTTATACCCTGTTCACCTAACTGTAAATAGGTACGTGGGAGTTAGACAGCCACTACAGCCGGTACTTCCTGGGGATGTGTGTGCGTGTGTGTACTCACCTAATTGTGCTTGCGGGGGTTGAGCTCTGGCTCTTTGGTCCCGCCTCTCAACTGTCAATTAACAGGTGTACAGGTTCCTGAGCCTATTGGGCTCTATCATATCTACACTTGAAACTGTGTATGGAGTCAGCCTCTACCACATCACTGTCTAATGCATTCCATTTGTCAACCACTCTGACACTAAAAAAGTTCATTCTAATATCTCTGTGGCTCATTTGGGTACTCAGTTTCCACCTGTGTACTCACCTATTCACCAATGTGTCCCCTAGTGCGTGTGCCCCTTGTGTTAAATAGACTGTCTTTATCTACCCTATCAATGCCCTTGATAATCTTGAATGTGATGATCATGTCCCCCCTAACACCTCTGTCTTCCAGCGAAGTGAGGTTTAATTCCGTAGTCTCTCCTCGTAGCTCGGGTACTGGTCTGGTGTGTGTGTGTGTGTTAGAGAAATATATGTAGTAGACATAATACAGAAAAATAGATTGGTTAGAATGGCGGGGTCCAAGAGCTAGCAGCTCGATTCTGCAGACACCAATAGTAAATACCTGTGTGATGCCCCACCCAGAACTATCAAATGATCATCTAACAGTTTGCAAATAAATTATCAATGTCTTATTAACTTGCTGTAGTGTAATTGTAATTCATAATTTATTAAGTTTCAGTTGCAGAGCGGGAAGAGCCCCTCACCATCAGGGGTCCTGTGGCATTGTGGCAAATACAGTTCATCAGGTCCTCGGGAATATGAACCGCTTACCAAAGGTTCATTGTTTCACAGGGAACAAAAAATGTGGATGTGGGTGAATCTTGGGCAACACAACAGCAGAACCTCTATTGTAACAAGAGGAAGAAAGTGGAGAAATTGAGAAGGTAATGAGAAGAGAGTCAGGAAATCATCTGACAAAAATGTGAATCAACTAGTAAGGGAAAGTGGTGCATAGTTGTGTGGATGTACGTATAACAATTGTGTGGATGTATGTATAACAATCTCACGCACTGATGTACAGAAAGATGAGCACTGATGTAGGTGAGATTGTTATAAAATAGACCATATTACCAAAATCAAAACTTGTACTTACAGTAATAATTCGATCTTTCTTTTGGTTTGGACTTCAAAAATGTGTACCAATATTTTTGATGTTATTTGACACACAACATCCAATTTGGGTCCTGAATAAGGAATCTAGTTTCAATATTAGATCACTCAAGTGGTACATCTTTAATCTTCCCTGAGCTATTGGGAAGTATATAAAGTTTGTGGTGAAAAAGACAGGCTTGTTCATTTTAATATCTAACGGAATAATAGCTGAAAGCCAAGAAAGTATCTAAAGAAGGATCAGAGGAAGAGTCCAGATCATTCAGCTGAGAGGAACAGTCATAATCAGGACAGGACTGCCCAAAAGTCCAGTTAAGGTGCAAGGAATGAACTTTGAGAGGAATCAAACTCTTATACCAGGCTGGCCCAACGATCTTCCAGGAAGAGTTGTGCCTAGGCATACAAAAATATGAGAACTGCACATCCCTACATCACTAGTGCCCAGGGAAACACATGCAGGGACCTCTAGTTGTGCCTTCTCCTTAATGCCAGCTTGACTCTAATCCAGACTAGCCAAGTGATTTAGCCGGGTCACGCTGAACCTTCTGTTTTATCAGTTCTCCACCAAAGAAGTGTGTTGATTCCCAAGAGTCACAGCTTCATTCTAGACAGGCTTATCTTCCAGATGAAGTTAAACTGGGAATAGGTCTCAATGTATGGACACACACTAATCTGAGTTTTTTGTTGCTTCTCACCATAGCCTAGTATTGCATGAGCAGCCTACACACAGCCTTCACTCCACCAAAAAACATTTTCTTTTCCAATCTTAACTCGCCCTACTTTTGATCCATCTTGCATCTTACTAATATTCACAAACTTCTTTAAAAACATGTTTACAGAACTTGTTAGCTTTTTATTTTTAAATTCATATGCCTGTATATATTCTGAACTACTTTTGCTCAATTGTTCAATTTTAGATAACAAAACTGCCCCATATACTTAAAAGAACCGTACAGACTTTCCTTTGTTAATTCTTATTCCACAACCACATTTTCTACAAAGATGCAACATTACTGAAATTTTTATTTTCATAACTGTTTTTTCTCGATTATGAACAATGGATGTCTACTATAATTCATACATGCAATTACAGAATGCATACTGTAATTCAGCTGTGAGTAACATGTCCCAAGCTTTTACTTGCATATAGTATTTCTAGAGCTGTTATCCACGGTCAGTTATCAGATATCATGTGCCCGACTTACCCACTCTCAGCACCCAACATACAGAGTACAGATACTGTACTGTATATACTTTGCCTTAACCAATGTTTAAAGGGCTATTGACTAAATTCGATGTTTATTCAGAGCTTTTTATCTGAGCTCATTCTCTGTATAGGTTTCAGTATAAAGTAGAGTTAAGGATGCAATACCAAAAAATCCAATTATATATACATCAGGTATATAGCAATGAAAGTATTTAAGTAGAGCACAGAATGGATAATAGAAATATATCCCATTTTTTTTACATGTATTTATAAACAACTGCCATACAAAGAAAGAATCCGTCTCCAATGTTTCAGGCTTAACTCTAATCACTGTTTTAGAAGTTAACAAGCAATATAAAAATACGTCATATAATATCTCTATAGCTCAAAATTACTTTAAGGCCCAATTAACAAAGTACAAAAATTATTTATGCAAGCATATAATTTATAATTATCATTGGTCAATTAGTGTCCATAAACATTTAATAAAAAAAAAAGTGATTCAACATGAAAATCGCATATACAAAATTTAAAGCATCAGATTACCGGAAGTGGCACCACAAGAGATTGCTTCGAATTTCAAAAGCTAAACTATTAAGGGCCAAAGGTTTCAAAACATTCATATTACAGTTAATTGGCCGAGAGAATATCCTTATCTGTGATATCACAGGTCTTTGAACTTGATGCATAGGACAGTCTCCCTTACCTATCAGTGATGGGTACTTACCAAAACAGCCTTTTAACTCACAACAATATGCTGTGTCGCCTTACCTACACATATACCTCCGAGTTTTGAAACCTAGAAGAAACTAACTTACTTATGTTTGTCAATTTATGAGTATAAGCTGCATATTTAAGATCAAACAACGTAAGCAAGACTGTCTTTTGTATATTTAAAATAAAAGCATCTGCTACGAAGCATAGTTTGACACTGGGCAACACAGCTAGCAGGCACTTCAGCACTCTAGTATACTGCCATATGTCGAGGTAAATGCAAACAAATGACAGGACTGGCTGCAAATTTGGTATTACCAACTGACCCCAAAGCCTACATACTCATAAAGGAAGGACTTGCAGAGTCAATCACACAAACCTGTCAATTTATTTTCCCTGCACTTTAGAATATGACTATACACACCAGAGTAAATATTCATGCAAAAGGGCAAATCTTCTTAATTACTCTCTCAAATTCAATATTTTTACTTAACCTTCTATACATTACTTGTAACTGGACTTTATACAATAAATATCTTAACACCTATCTTGATATTTATTTTCCCATTAATCTTATCAATGTTAACGATCACAGTTTTCAGTAGCTAGCAACAATGAAATGTTTTGCACTTCACTGTTCTAAAGTGAGCAAACTCCAGACACCTTCATGAGTAACGCATTATGTCAGTAGATGGTGAAAAGTCGACTGCTTTTCATTTAAGAGAACAGATCCCAGTTCATACCTCATAATATAAAATACTTTAATTGGAATATATCTGGCAAGGAATTTTCATGTGGTAGTTACTTGCCAATCTGATCATTTATTTTAAGTAGGTAGACAGTAATGCCCATCTCTAACTGGTAATTATTAGGAGGGATTATTCATTTTATATATCTAAATACTCTACTGTACTTAATATATTTTCTTTGCAACAATTTTACTTTACAAGTCATAAATAAATCTCTTCTTTACATTGCATATCAAGGGAATGAGGGACAATTCAATATATATATATACATTTGTAGTTTTCTTCCTCAATTTTCTTTCAATAAATATATCTTTTTCTATATAAAACACACAATACATTATACACATTTCACAGTTTATTCGGTTCCTGGCATGCGTCAAGTTATGAGTTCTCAATTATCTGCACTTTTCTGTTCAGAGGAAAAAAATAAATAAAAAATCGGGAGGCCTTCAACTTCGGATATGGGCCTCACTATACTGTACTGTATATCTTCTAACACAAACAAGTCTTGGAAGATTTATCGAGGTGTGTTAGGAGGAGCCCATAGTTCTGGGTAATAAAGTAACTGATCATTGCACTCGTAAAGTGTCTTCAGCATTGAACACCGATGCCTTGGAGTACCTCCTGCTCGTGAGGATTGAGGTGTGGAACGAACACGGGGAATGCTGGGTGCTGAGCAAAAGTACTGATGAAGGTGGTCAGATACTGCTGAAGATCCAGATTATACAAGGGGTCACTCACCTGGTGGTAAATGTCAGGACATGTTTTACTAATTACAGAATCAAGCAATATAAAAGAACAGTAATGCCTTTAATACATTTTTCCAATACTGTTATGTCATTTGTTGATGAAATTTTGTTTAATTACACTAATAATATTTATTCCAGTACTCAAAACTTTAAACAAAATTAACAATTTCATTACACTCCAATAAAACTTTGGAAAATTAACTTCAGAATTCAAAGTGGATGTAGGTGTCAAAATTTTTAAGAGAATGGATAAGACTTTGTTACATAATTATTGGTACAAATTTTATTAAATTTGATATCTACCTATTGTTAACCAATATTATAATTTACATAATGAATATTTACCAAATGAAATAAATAAAAGCACGGTATAATTTATCAAACTGTATCCTCAGTTTAACCTTTTACATGATCACTCTTCTTTTCAAATAGTATTCTGTTGATAAACACTTGGAAAATAGAGTATTAGGATACTAGTTCTTTTCTTTACCTGGAGAGGATATAGAGCATATTAAATTTAAAGATGAATACCATTGAACGAGGGGTATGCAACTTAGGACTTTGTGAATGTTCAAGGTGTTCAGGTACATTAGGTGTGGATGGGCTAAAAATTAATCTCATATCACCCATTATGCACCAACACCTATCACGTCATTTTCAGTTTCACTAAAATATTTATAAATATTTAATGTTACCCATTAAAGTTAACCTTATATCAGATTATTATTATTATTATTATTATTATTAATCTACTTTTTTTTTACTTGCATTTCTGTTAATGGAAATTTGTCAGCTTGATATTCAGACTGGATAAACATAAAAAATGTCCATTCAAAACAAAAATTTTAACTTTCACATGTAAATATTTTGCAAAAAATATGGGTCAGATGATATTTGATGATATGACATTTGCTGCCCGTTTCAACAGCAAGTTTTTCTTGACTACAACTTAGCGCACAGCAACCCCCATGGGTTCATTCCAATAAACAGAGATTCTCTGAAATAACAATTCCAGAAAATTGACTGATACACCCAAATTATTAACATATTAGGATGGAGTTCAGAAATACAGAACTATTATTCTGGGTTTGACAGACCCTTTGAGTACTAACATTTGTATATTTATGAAGTTACAGTACTAGCTTGTTTTGTCAGCCACAGTATCATCGGGTTGCAGGTGTTCGAATGATAAGTGAACCAGTCTTCGATTGTCCTGAATATTGTATTGCATATAACTTTACCATCAGGGCATAACAAAGCAGTAACAAAACCAGGTACTGTTTAAACATATCAAACATATCCTAGCTCATTACCTCATTAAAGACAAAAAAATGACTTACTGCATCAGGGTCATCCTCATCATCTACAGTGTCTGTATCATAACCAGGATAGCTACTGGCTGGAGCAAACATAGATGTTAAAGAGGAATCCCCATTAGTCTGACCCTCCTCCTCATCGTCTTCCCAGCATTCATCTTCCGACTCCTGCTGAAAATAAATAAGAAATCACATAGTTCACATAAAACTAAGCTCTTATTCAGCATAATTTTCAGCTTTTCAACACTTAAATCATAATTTGGTATAGTATTTCTCTCAAAATATTACTGCATCATCACTCCAACTATCGGCAGTCAGAATACAGTACTTGTGACATACTGTATGCGAGGTATTTCAACTAGCTCAGTTATCAGTTATCTTATGTAGTCACTACCTGCAGCAAGGAAAAAGAATGATAATATATTAATTTTTATATAGAGGAGGCTCCCATTATACAAACACTTGTCTATCCGAATGGCCTCTAAAGTCTACGTTTCATAAGCGAAATTCATATGGCAAAGGTATATGTTTCATAAGCGAAATAAGGAGATCATATGGCAAAGGCATAGGAACAGTATCTTGGAAGGGAAGTGGAACAATGAATGAAAGGGAGGTGGTGGTGGCAGTGGTGGTGAGGGCAGGGGGGAAAGCAGTCACAGCTAAAAGGGTGAAAGAGTCAATGTGGTGTTAGTGCTTCCTGGAAAACTTCTGTTGGGACTACCACCTAATGGCAAGCCCCAGGAAAACTAACGCATCAGGGCTATACATAAATCCAATTTACAGAAAACATTATTATAAATTATCAAATATGCATTGCAAACAATGAACTTGTACCTCATCATCATCCTTCGTCATGTTGGAGTCAATGGCATTGGCAAGTTCATTAATCAGGAGTTTGAAGATCTTTACCAACACAGGCACCTGAGTCCACTGCTCTGGACGTGTTAAACGTTGAGATCTTGTTCGCATTCGGCCCTCAGGGGAGAAAACCTTCAGGGCAAAAATTGTGTACACTTTAGATATTAAGCAAATACTGTACATTAAAATTTTTTAAAGAAATGTAGTAGACTAGTACATACATCAAACAAAAATCTCGAGATCATTAAAAATTTAATTAAAAAGTGGAAGAAAGGAAAAAGAAAAAAGAAACCAAGAAGACAAACAGGAATTGCAATTTTCTGAATCAGTATTTGCATGTGACAACCAATCTGCCATCATTACCACATTCCCAAATTTAATTGAGAAGCTAGGCATTATCAGCTCAGTGAGTAAATAGGGAAGCAGTATGAAAAACTAAATAAAACTACAAAATATTTATTCACCAAAACTTACACATTACGAGTAACAATGACAAGTAACAAGATGACAAACGAGAGGGCCTCATAATGGTCACGAGAGAGATTGTAGTAAGGGCAGATAGAGGTAAGTCACAAATTGTTAGTACTGAGGGACCTCAACTTTAAAACAACAGACTGGGAGGCCTACGAAGAAAGAACGGAGTACATTTGAACAGGCAGATTTGTAAGCCTCATTCTGAAAACCTTCATGTATCAACACGTGAAGCAGGCCACAAGAATGAGGATGTTCCATCAATACTGGAGCTAATATTCACCAGGAAGGAAGAGATATTTGCCATCCAATACATTCCTCCCTTGGGAAAAAGTGATCAAGTCCTGTTGGAAATTAAATATGCTTTACGATATAATCTAGAAGAGAATGGGGACATTGAAACAGTTGATAAACTCGATTTCAAGAGAGAACACTATGAGGAACTTAGAATTTTTTTAGTGAGTTTAACACTTTCCCTATCTCGTGACATATAATGCGTTACCAATTTTTCCGGCGAGTCCTATCGCGTGGCATCATCATTGTGTCCAACAATAAAATATTTATATAAAATTAAATTTTTATCTCATCAATTCTGGGATAGTTTCAAAATGAGCGCCTTTAAATTGTGCACAATTTGATATCAAAATGAAAGATGTAACATAAAACTTGATGTCAGAACACTTGAAAGATATAAATAATTTTGTGATAAGCATCCAAATTTAAAATGTTTGTTAAAATTCCAGTTATTGCATATTATTATTATGGGACTAGTTTTAAAATACGTGCCTTTATATTGCGAACAATTTGATACCAAAATGAAAGACATAAGACGAAAATTGATGTTATCAAACTGAACGAGTATACACATTTCGGTGTCTCCACACGCTCGCCCGCACCGCCGGGAGCATGGCGTCAAAGTCGGCGGTGCGCCCGCGCCGCACTCTGAGGTGTTAATTGGACCAATTTGTTGCTAGGCAAAGCAGTAAATGACCAAAATTAGAATATGCAGCAGTTGTATAGTGCCCAAATCTCAATAAGCACATAAATAAACTGGAAAAGGTGCAATGGCATGCTACAAAAACTCAAAAAACAAGAGTTACGAGGAGAGACTTGAGGTGTTAAACATGCAAATACTAGAAGATAGAAGAGAGGTGATATGATCACCAATTACAAAATACTAACAGGAATAGATTAAACTGACAGGAATTCCTGAAACAAGCAACTTCACCAAGAACAAGAGGACACAGATTGATGGTAAGAAAATAAGAGGTGCTGAGTAAATATTAGAGTTTTCTTTAGCAAACAGAGTGGTAGACGGTTGGAACAAACTAAACGAGGTGGTGGTGGAGGCCAAAACTGTCAGTAGTTTCAGAGCATTATACGACAAAGAGTACTAGGAAGACAGAACACCACGAGCACAGCTCTCACCCTGAAGTACACCACTTTGGTAATTACACAGCACCCTGGAGAACCACCACTACCACACCCCAACAAACCATTCATAGTATCAACCCAATGCTCCACAAGACTAGTTAGACAGTGCCACTCCTCAGGTGCCATAAATATTAGCCTACCCAAAAAATTCACTTATGAAGAGTGTAATCCAGTCACCCATGTTCAACATCTTGATACAGTCTTCTCTATCAAGAAATTCCCCATCATTCCAGAAAAACAATTTCTTACATATAATCATTACTCCATTTTCTATTTTAAGGGGGGAGGGGGGAGAAAGGCATCGTCCCAGATAAAAAAAAGTTGAGAATTTTTTTTAAAAGAAGGTAATAGGCATTAAATAAACATTAAAAATATCACTTGTCCATTAATATCATTTACAGAATTATACTAGATAAATAAGCACCTCCACACTTCAGCAGTCATCCACAAAAGCAATAGACCGATACACTCAATCAGGTGTAGGCTACAGGCCTCGTGTATTGACATTCATTAGTGAGCAACACATTCACTCTCATGTTACAAACTGTTACCACCCAGACATTTCCCTCCCCATATCTCGTGTGTTGCCTACACAATTTCCCCGCTTCTGCCCGCTCACTATTTTCTTGCTAACATGCATGCTTCTCCGATTCTCAGTTTTCACTGCTTTATTTTCACATTTATGCCACACCAGTGATTTGCATTCTTAAGTAGTATATGTGCTAGCACTTCTTCATGCAGTTCTCTGGCTGAATCTCTTCGTTTCTTATGCTTTCTAATGAAGACATCTTCCATTGCAACTCTTTCATTCCCCTACTCACTATGTTCAATTTCACTTGCAGAAATTCCCCTTTCTGTCAACTAAACCTCCTAGTATTTTGTTAATGAGCACTTCTGCCACATCACATTTCATATAAGACCCTTCTTTCCCCAACCCCCCCAATTTTTCAACCACAAAATCCACCTTGCTCGACACCAATTCATTTCTCCGTTATTTTCTAAACTCTTTCAATCACTATCCTGATCCCCTCCCCCTCCCTACACATACACTGCTCACTACACTTAGTAGTCTAATGCTCCTAAATTCTTACTTGCTACATTCAGCAATTTGATGAAATAACTCGCTTATTAACCACTAAAATTAGATTAACGTTAACTTACCTGGTCTCCCTGGACTATGATATCTTGCAAACGAGTATCATTAGCTGTCACTCCATGCTCCAGTAGCTTCGCTAGAGCAACTGCACTGACCTGTCAGAGAGGAAGTCATAAATAAACATTCCATATTTGAATTAAAGTAACCAAGTTTAATTACCTATATCCATTTATTTTATACCAAAAATACCTCCCTCTGACAATGATTCTCTTTTCTCATTATTCAACTGGTCCACTGAAAATCTACTTGCCAACTAGTCTCAAATATTCTCCTGTTCAACCAATTATCAAATCTTGTATAGTACATAATTTATTGCTTTCTTTGAGCTTCATCCATCCTTAAATAAGCAGTAAAAATATTTGTTAAACTTACCTTTCCTTCATATGCACCAAAAAAGAGATGCTGTTTGGAACACCACTGTGTAAGAACAAAATGAAGGGCAGACTGTCCTGAAGGTCCTGGAACTCCTGCTAAGAAGATCAAGACACCCTCCAATTGTGAGTGGACCAGTTGAGCATATACCAACACAAGGTTCTGAACCACTGTTAAAGTCTCGGCACCCTGGAAAACATTGATGAATCCCTCCTTATTAACATCCATAAAGACACACACACACAGGATACAGAACACACAAAATTAGAAATTTACAAACTATACAAACTTTTCAGTGATATTCTACATTAAAACAAGAGTAAGGGAAGCAGTCAAAGTCTTACCTGAAGTTTACTAAGAACAGCTCTGAGAAGAAGATCCAAATTATCTCCCAAGTGGTCACCAGCTCTCCGGATGAGAACAGTAATAAGCCGACCTACAAATGTTGCCGTGTGTTCACTGGTGGCCGGTGACAACAGCTGTGTTGCAACTTGAACTACATACTGCAGACCTGACCGACCCTCAGCATCATGATATGCTATGACCTTCATAAAAAAAAATTATATATTCATATATACATTTATTATATTTGGGGGGGGGGCAAACATTTAAGACAACTGTATGCTGGTCCCCACACAGGGCCAGGCTATGTAAGTTACGAATCTTAAAACACTGCTGATTTGACAGAATATGTTGGTCAATGAACACTTGTTGTAAAATATTTCTGGTACTGTAGTTGGTGGCAAGACTTACGTCTTGTTTTAAGTAAATGCATTATGTCCCTTTTAACTAAATGCATTACGTCCCTTTTAAGTAAATGCATTATGTCCCATTCATGAGTACTTTTTATTAATTAAAATATTAATTCTACAGATTAAGTAGAAGTTCCCATTGAAGGAAACTAATTATACCAAACAAGAAATTATTTAGCATTATCATTAACAATCCTACACAAGTCAAATATAAAAAATCAGATAGTCAAAATTATTAATACCCCATCATATTCCTCTAACCTTTTCTACCATTTATCACACGATGTTATGGGGGTTCATAATAAATAAACTAATTATTAATACAGACCAATGACAGTAAACAATAAATTACATAATTAAGAAATCATTAGCTGCTTCAAGTCAAATTAATCAAACCACTGTATAATATTACTCTATACCTGATCAGGAGCCACAGAGATATAAGCTCTAAGACATTCCCCTCCATTCTGCAGAGTAGAATTATCATCTGTATTAAGAGTTCTCTGTACTACAGCTGGGAAGGCTACATTGATCAATGGTTCCTCAAGGGGTGGAGTTGAGGATCGAACCATTACTTCAAGCATGTCCAAAGCCACAGCTTGCATACCTGGTGGCACCTGGAAAAAAACAATATTCAAGTCCAGTATAGACAAATATTTCTCCACTCATCACCATCAAAAATGCAAGACTGAAGAATGTTTGTAGCGTAATGCCTTAGTCTTCACCTTCCTCATTGCTTTCTCTTGCTCATTAAAAAAAAAACACTCAATAAGATATAATAGACACAAGAAGCCGGCATTGTAAATGATTAAACTAATATTTTTACCGAGTATTGGGGATTGTAATGCTGTTTGTATTTTCATTATAATCAATTTACAAAATACAAGCTACAAAGTAAATGCTAAACTCAAGATAATAAGCTAAATGCTTATGGTCCAGTAACTGTAGCCTGTCATAGCTACTGACCCTTTATAGTTTGTAAAGTTCTCTGACCATCCTCTGTATACCCGACATAATACAAAACGTAAATTCTCATTTTACCTTCCCTAACTATTTTCTATATTCTTAACCTATGATGTTCACTGACTTTCCAAATTACAATGAACCTACACCAAATAAAAAAAAAATAATGAACATAAGAACATAACATAAGAATAAAGGTAACTGCAGAGAGAATATTGGCCCATACGAAGGCAGCTCCTATTTATAACCACTCAATTAAACTAATGTAACTAAATAATAATAATGAAACTAAAATAATAATGAAACTAAAATAATAAATAACTAACCTTATCTGTTGATGCATTAAGTATTGATGCTAAAGTAGGAATAAACTTGGTTTGAAGCGTTGTGGTGCAACCTGGGTTGGCGCACAGTTCCCGTACCACATCTTGCACAAGTGCAACTAGTACAGGATCATTATTTGCTTTAATAAATACTGCTAAACAAAGAGTAGATATTCGACCCACATTTGCTGCTGTGAAATTGGAATCAACAGAAACTACTATACAGCAGGTCTCCAGTATAAGAGAGAGTACTTCTGAAGACGCTTGAGTTGCTAAGGTAACAAGCCCGTCCAGAATGGAAGGAAGATATGGCTGGAGTGCTCCTGGGTTGCCACTACCTTTTAAATATTCACAGAAGCCCCACACTGACCTGTAATGATACGTAAAAACGAAAATCAATAACAGAAAACTATAGATGAACAATTCATATCTTCACTTTAAACTTAATGGGAGTGAAAATGGGAGCCGGTCGGCCGAGCGGACAGCACGCGGCCCTTGTGATCCTGTGGTCCCGGGTTCGATCCCAGGCGCCGGCGAGAAACAATGGGCAGAGTTTCTTTCACCCTATGCCCCTGTTACCTAGCAGTAAAATAGGTACCTGGGTGTTAGTCAGCTGTAACGGGCTGCTTCCTAGGGGGTGGAGGCCTGGTCGAGGACCGAGCCGCGGGGACACTAAAAAAGCCCCGAAATCATCTCAAGATAACCTCAAGATTAATACATTTCTTTGCCCTCACCATTACCAACATGTGGCTGCAACGGTTAAAAATCTCACTTTTATTTACAAAATTAGTTTTTTGCCCAATCATACTTTCTACAGCTAAAGCAGCTTTTAATAGCAGTTCCCATATCCTGAACTTCAATCCATAATGACATTCCTGAGGCATACACCACTTTCTCCTCTTGAATGAACCTTTTTTTTTATCAAAAACACTAAATTAGATCAAAATGAGTACAATTTCCATAGTTCTCTCAACAAACCATTCATATCTGAGCAGTCATTAGATTTTTCTTATTACTTATAATTATGTACCCACTTGTCTGTATGCACTTGCCCATAATATTAGGTATGGGAAAGGAACACAACGTTTCAAGAGACAACGGCTTCTCGAGAAACATCTTTACTTTTATTTCAGCATGCAAATTAATTACAGTAGTATCCTTCTACTGATGACATATAACTATGTCAGTCTTGTTAATGACATCCTGAAGGTGACAATAATGATTTAGAAATAGCAACATACCTGACTCCAGAGACTTTAATAATAGGGTTGGGACTGTGGTTGAGAGCTGACACTGTAGCCTGGAGAAATCTATCAAGCATCTCTGGAGTAACCGCCTGTCCAAACCTGCTGCCACACCAAAGAGCTCGTCCAGCCAAAAATGGCGAAACTGCAAAGATAAATTAGATTGTAAAAAGAGCAAATTTGCAAACTAAATGCTATATTGCAAATTAAATTTCCCTAAAGTAAAGCAATAAAATTTTCTGCCATTCAGATGACAGGTAAACTCTTTGTTTCTAGTTAAATATCCAATTCACATCAATAACCATTAAACTATACTAAGATCTAGAATAGTTTTTTAATACAACCATGAAATTTATTCTCATTTACAATCATACAAAAATCTTGGTACAGTACTTACAATTAGGGTCAAGGTCAGCCAAAACAACAGACTGGATAAAATTTGTGAGATCAAACTGCAACTGTCCCTTCGTCACTTGATCAAGGATTAGGTCCCGGACAGATCCCATGGCCAGCATGACAGCCTCGTGTGTTTTCCACCAAGCAGGGTCACCCGCAGTTCGCTGGCTAGCTGCTCGCTCCAAATGTCTCCCAACAGCAACTATTAAACCTTGGCCACACTCTTCAGCTAGTTCTTGACACAAGGCCTGAGCACAGAATAAAATGGAATGTATTGCCTAAAAAAATGGGGCAATGTGAGAGTATGGCCTCGCAAGTAAGTAAGCAATTATCAAAAGAAGGCACCAAACCGGGAAGGCTATGTAGGACCATCAAATGTGTGGAATAATCAGAGGGCGCTAAATATCACCAAGGATGCCAATACAAGAACAAAAACGCATAAGGCGAACGATATCAAAAGTATCCGAGTCACCAAGAATTCTATTGAGGGACAGGTGACCGCGAGGGGCGGTCGGAAAGCAAGACACACGCTCGTTCCTCAGGACATTCAAGAACATGCACGACTGTAAGAGGGACAATGCAATTAGGACAATAAGGAGCAGGGCGGCGCTCCATCAAGTGACCATGGGTTAAGTGAGTATGGCCAATACGCAACCTCGCCAGAGCCATTTCCCATCGCCGGTTACGGTGGTAGGACGGCCACGAGGAAACACAACTCTTAAGAGTACGCAGTTTGTTATCAGTAACAGACGACCAACAAGCCTGTCAATGGGTAAGGATAGAGGAATGGATAACCAGGTAAAAGTTGGAATAAGGAATACTTTTACGAGAGATGGGACAAGAGTGGACAGCTTCCCTGGCGGCAGCATCCGCACGCTCATTTAAAGACACACCAATATGGCTGGGAACCCAACAAAACTCAACTGACTTAAATTTACTGTGAACAAGAAACAAGCCAGTGCTGGATCTCGACAAAAACTGGATGAACCGAATTAAAGGACCCGAGAGCCATGAGGGCACTACGAGAGTTAACAACAACTACAAAGGAAGACTGACAACGAGAAAGCAGGAGACGAAGAGCATAGAGAATAGCATAAAGCTCCGCCATGAAGATGCTAGTCTCTGGAGGTAAGCGACACATATAAGTGCGATCAGGAAAAACAACAGAGTAGCCAACACCATCCGCAGACTTAGACCCATCGGTGAAGACAGAAATGGAGCGGGAGTGAGAAGAAAAGTGCTCAAGGAAAAGGTGTTTTAGAACCATAGGAGGGGTAAAAGCTTTAGTGATGCGGATTAAGGATGCACAAAACTGCGGAAGGGGGACTCTCCACGGGGGCAAAGAAGGAACAACACGAGGAGAAATATTAGAAATACGAACTGAAAGAGAATCCTGTAAGTGAGATAACCGGACAGGAAAGCAAAATAGAAAACCCCACAGGCAGTATATGAAGATTATTACCTATGGGGTTTATTTACTCTTCAGACTATGTGAAGAAGATATAAAGAATAAAACCTTCTACATCCAATAACCCATTACCCATCACCCAATATGATGACACCTTCAGCCTCATCCACATATCCTTAACTTTAGGTCAAATATTTATAACTAATAAATCCTTTATTAATATTCATAGTACAAAACAAGGAGTGATATTAACCTTATTAACTTGGTTAAAGTGTACATCAAGTGCTGACAACAATCTGGAGAAACCTTAAGTGAAGGATAGACTTTATTATGCCTACAAGGGCTTTAATCAAACTTGATAAAAGTCTTCACAAGCTAAATATCTGAAAACATTTTCAACTAAGTGCTCCTCTCTACTAATCTTTTTTACATTCCAGCTTTGATTAAGCCAAAAACCCACAGAAAGGGACTTACAGAATAGTATTATATTCCTAAACACTTATTCAGTGTTTTAACTGCTCTTCTTCATAAGCACAAGGTGAAAAAGTATAAATTAAGTCCCATGCAGTAATGACTTAATTTTTTTAAATTATACTAATTTAAACTCACCAGCAGCAAATCTTGAGCCGAGATTCTTACAGAATAGGCAAAGCTGTCTTCATCTTCATCCTCTACAAAAGCATCTGGATTACTGCTCCAATTTTCAATCTGATAAATACAATAAAGTCTCAATAAACCATTTTAGTGTTAATTGATCATAGAGAGTAAAGAAAATGTATTAAACTAGTCCTGTGCTGATCAAATCTGATCAAGGTAGGTATGCACAGTCCCACTCAATACATTGTCTTCACAATATACATTAACACTACAACTGCTAAAAGTTAATTGCTGTCAAATCAAAGTTGCAAACCTTTCTCTAAGAGTGCAAAATGCAACCAAAATCCAGATACCCAGAAAAAGTTTCCATTTCTTAAAAGTGTTTGGTCACATTCTCATTAACACATTCATATTATTTGGTCACATTTTCCCCTACAGTAGGTCAAACCCCACTTTGAATGCTTACCTCCAAAGTCCAGATGATCATTCAAGATGTTGAATTTATTGTTCTAATATGTTTTTTAATTTGCCAATTACTGTGATTTTTTTTTTGTAAAGCAAGCATTCCTACTATTTCAGGAAGTGTTAATGTAACATTTAATGAAATATCATGCACAAACTCATAAAACTTTCTATGTGACATAGAAAGTTCACATACTTTCTATGTGAACTTCTATATCGTTTGCCTCATATTGAAGTAAGCTTCAAGTAATCTCTCTACAGGCGTTATAATCGAGGGAAACGTGTATATTGTTGTTCAATTGCAGAAACCTTTAGAATACCATGCATAGCTAATAGTGTTTAAGTAGTTAAAACACACACTTAAAAAAACCATAAACCACTGTTTGTATAAACCATAACCAAAACACAAAACTCTGCATAACATACGCAAAATTATGTGCAATACTGTACTTTACACCACATTTCTTTATGTGTAAAATCACTTGACTAAATGACAATATATTAAATACTGCGCTTAAATGTGTTGATCATTGTACATTTGTGTACAAGAACTGGGCAGACTGATACCCTACATATACAGTACATGAATTTTAATTACATATACAGTACTAGTAGTAATAAAAATACATAATAAGAATTACACAATTTCAAAAAGATAACAAAAAAGAAATATATACCTGATCTTCTGTAATTTGCATATACAGGAGAATGTAGTAAGCAAGATCAGCAATGCCTTGTTTAATAAGTTGCTTGTGTTTAGTAGTTTCCACTAGAGCATGTACAAACTCAAATATACTAAACACAAGATTCTCAAAGCCAAGTACTTCACCTGGAATGTTCAAAATAAGTTAGCAACAGAAGAACAAAACTGCACAATAATATTAAATCATTCCATAAAACCTAGTTAAGGGGTTACCCATCAATATTTTTCTATTGAATTGGAAACTTTAATTTGTATTTTGTAACAAGTCACATCGTATCAATAACCTCCCTCATGCAATGTCATAAAAATACAGTCAAGCTTTCATATATACAAGAACTCGGTGAGACGAGTAGTATTTTCAATTTTACTTGAAATTCCCTTCCCCTCTGCGAGATGTATTGATATTTAAAGTAATAATGAAAATGAGGCATAAGGTGAATATCCAGAATGAGTTATTCAATGAAAGAAGCATTTATACTGGAGTGTTCCACGATACAGCATAATGGAGCACCCGATTCATTCTTGTGTATATGGTTGTTGAGAAAATATTCACACTAATTGCAACACCATTTTTCCATGTTATTCATATCAAGGGTTGAAAACTAGCCATAAAACAAAATTTTGAAATCCAAATTTTGTACAACACTTCTAGTAAGAAATATAATGGTGCCTTTACACAGAAATGAAACTATCAAGTCATAACAAATGCAATTCCAACATGGCTATCATGTAAGGAAGGAGAGATGATAGGAGGGAAGTAGCTCTTCTGGTTAGGGAAGACTGGAGATTATAATCTAAGGTTGTGAAGGATTCAGAAACTGTTTTAGAGGCACCATAACAATTGGAGGACCTAAGAGGGATGAAAAACCAACAAAATGAGTCAAGAACAAACCCAACTGTGTCACATGTTTGTAGGATGTATGAGAATTTTTTAATCAGAAGTGTGTTCAAAGGTGAAATAAGGGTTTCATATGAGAGACAGACCACCAATCAGGGAAGGGAAGATTTAACAATATATGTAAGGGTGGTTGGAAAGGGGGTTTGAAACCTTTAAAAAAAAAAAGGTGAAAGGTTTATGTGGTGATAGAGCCTCCTGCAGAAACTTCTGAAGTAGCCATCATAACTGGAAACTTCCTGGAAGGGGCAAGGCATTAAGGCTCTAGATAATTCTGTCAACAGTTTATCACAAGAGCCCCTTCTAATATGTAATCAAGCAATAATTGTGATGCAGCCTCACAGTAGAGATTAAGGAATCAAAGGACATTACTTATGGACAAGAATTATCAAATGAATTCTCAAATTATCAAGATATTTACCAAGCCTCGGAGATTATTAAGGATATTGCTTGAAAATCCCTTACATCAAATGTATACGTGAAACGTATGACACTATTTTTTCTGAAGGCATAACTTCTTAATAATAATGAAACTAACCAGCCCTCATAATATACAAGTACAGTAGTAAGTTTGTGCATAAAATCCCTTGTAGCACTAAGTACTAACCATATTTTCATGCTTTCATAAATCATTTAATTCTATTCTAATCAACATTATCAAGACAGATATACTTACCATCCGAGTCTACTGGGTCATCAGCATCCTCTCTGGCGTTAACTGTGGTATTAACATAAGTATCGGCACTTGTAGTGAGGGTCTGCCACACAGGCCCCAACACCTCCCCTAGGTATTGTCCCATCTGTTTTGGTACATTCTTCATCAGAACTGTTAATGCTGAAACAGACCATTAATGCAAAATATTACCACTAATTCAGCAATCTGATTATAAAGATGTAGTTTTAACAATATCCATCATAGTTTTTGTAAGTTAAATGCTCTTTTACTTTTTAATTTGTGCTTTTTAAGAAAGCTAAATACAATTATGTAATTTTTGGGGGGGATGGCTGCTTCATTATATTTATTTTGGATTTGGATATATACTATGCTATACATTAATACCTAGGAAATGCATCTGTAAAGCTTTTAAATGCATTTAATTATTTAATTATTGGATTAAACCCTAGATAAGACAGGAAAAACATATTATATAAGCAAGAGTAAAGTCTGAGTGAAGAAAGATCGCTAGCCCTCTGAATCTCTTTCACTGATCATCTTTCTAACAAGATTTTAATTGCACCAGACACTTTCTTTCACCAACTCATTCTACTCTTACCTTCACTTGCACAAATTCCTCTTATTGATCATAAATACACACAACATTGATCAACCACTTACACACCTATCTACATTTATTTTACACACAGCTTCCTCCTTTCTTCGCAACAGTATACTACAGTACATATTCCCTTTTAACCTACATACCACTAAGAATTTCTTTCTTTAAGCCGGAATCAGAGGTAAAACCATCGGGAGTCTGCAGACCCTTGACAAGTGCTTGTGTAAATGCTGGTAATGTTGGGTAGAGAAGTGTCTTAGCCAAGTTCCTGTTATATTCCCCCATCATACAGATTAAGTTAGCCAAGGTACTGAAAATTTCTACTGCTCTGCCTCTCGTTCTAATCCCATATTTCTGAAAAAGAGAGTATCCATTAATAAATCTAGGAGAAAAAAGTATTATATTTATGCTAATTGATGGGTGAGAATTATTCAATATAAATTAACAGAATCAGGTAGAATTTGATATGCTCAGAAGTTTAAGATAATTTGAGGATTATCTTGAGGTTATCTTGAGATGATTTCGGGGCTTTTTTTTTTTTAGTGTCCCCGCGGCCCGGTCCTCGACCAGGCCTCCACCCCCAGGAAGCAGCCCGTGACAGCTGTCTAACACCCAGGTACCTATTTTTACTGCTAGGTAACAGGGGCATAGGGTGAAAGAAACTCTGCCCATTGTTTCTCGCCGGCGCCTGGGATCGAACCCAGGACCACAGGATCACAAGTCCAGCGTGCTGTCCGCTCGGCCGACCGGCTCAAAGTAGATAAGTACACAGCTCATTCTATTTTTGAGGTATGAGTGAAGCAATGGTGTGCTATACAATATTCGACTTCTCAATGGTGCAAAAGATATTTCCATATTTTCTACAAGTGAAAATAAAAAGAGAATTAGTGGAGAGAATATGGAAATTGAAGGTAAGAACTGTCATAATTGAGCAGAAAAAACAATTGAGGATGAATAATAATGATTGTGGCAAGCAGATAATGGATGAGAAAATCAGGAGTCATAAGGTGGATTCAAACCTGCACAGTGGGTACTCCCAAGCCCACGCCCTAGACCACTACACCATGACATGGTCAAAAGTAATACCACCCGGGACTCAATTGAATCCTCTAGGGGGTCCTGAGGCTTCCACTGAAGCCCAATCAGCGGTTTCTGGTGTTGTCCCCCATGCATTCTGCCTTTGGTCCAGTTCTATCTCCAACACTTCTCTTCAAATACACAATGAAATCACATTAATTAACATGATGTATCTGAGAAAATCCATAGGACACCCTAGTACCACTTGGTACTCCCAAGTGTTCTAGGGTGTGGGAGTAACAAGTGTAGGTTCAAATCCTCCTCATGGCTTTACTGATTTTCTCATTGATACATCACATTAATGTGACTTCACTGCAGATAATGGATGACTACATGCTAATGAGCCCACACACGTGGGGCTATGAAAGGTAAACAACTAGGTGAAAAGACGAAGAGTATGTGAGTGAATCGGTTGCCAGTACACTAAGTAGTATGGAAATTTTTAAGGCTAGGAATTCCTGACATTTTGCAGCCACAATCCTATTAATTAAAGGCAAACTAAACTGGGAGTGTCTTAAAGAAACTTTGAAAAATGTATCCCCATCTTACCTCCTCCTCACAGAATATGCGGTACATCTCGGGCAGTATAACAGGTGCCACCTGAGGAATGTGTTGATCTGTCAAATCCCGAGAAAACTCGGTAAGGACGCGCATGGCTCCATGAACGGGGGATTCTTCCCCAGTTTTCAGAGCCACCATCAACAAATCAAAAAGTCCACACCACTGCTCTGGCCAATCCCAGTGGGCAATGGCTGATATTGCATAAGCTACAGATGATCTGGAAATAGATTAAAAATATATGACACATTCCACAAATAAAGCTGATACAGTATACAGAATTGTTGGCAGCAATGAATTTCACTAATTATTTTCAGGCTTGCATACTATTAATACAGAAAAATAGTACAGTACTCCAAGCGTTAAATACAGTATTTATCAACAGATAAAAATTCTATCCTCTATACTCTACAAGGAAGCAAGGAAACCACACAGTTAATAGGTGGATATTATTCCTGGGGCATTGCTACTTATTAAAATTACTATTTTCAATTAAACCTTTCTTGCAAATACTATACAGTACTGTAAATCTCTCTTGGTTTTGCATCATCAGCAATGATTTCCTATACAAGAACTGTAAATTATATACTTTACAAATAAGTCAATTTATTACCAACCTGACTTTGCTAATTGGCTCATGTAGGCCATGTGGAAGCAGCTCTCTGATCTTTACTTTCGCATATTCAGGGCATTCAGGCACGCGGAACTGGGGAAAAAGTATATATTATTCCAGCATCTCCACACTTAAAGATCACCATAAGTTGCCTCAAAATAACACATACACATTGTAACTTACAGAGTAACATATACTGTATTAGGAAACCTAAATGGTACACTTTGATTAAAGAAAGATGGAAGATTTAGAAGTTAGGCAATGAGCACTAGATGACAATAACAAAAAATTATAATCCTTGGAACAATTCTAAAAATATAGATTGGACTTGTAAAAATAAAAATGAGATCAAGTTACTCTGAATGATTATTTACACACAGCTTAGTATCTTATATAGTAAACATATTTGGAATACTTTAGTATTGACATTCTCTTAGGTTTGTACACCATGATTGATGAAAATATTGTATTGTTCCCCATCGTTGTATCATTAGTATCAAGGATCACGTCATACCACTTTGCAGTATGTATAAGATGGGTCATGATTTATAATGCTAATTCACATCTTAAATCTATATAATTCTCACCTTTTCCGAGTCTGTGCACCAATGGGCTTCAACATACTGTTTGAGGAGTACAGAGGCCAGTTGGCGGATGGGCAAGGGGCCATTACGGTCTAATGTAAGCTCTACCAAATGGACCCCAAACTCTGAAGGATAAACGAACAAACTTTACTAAAAGATGTTATAATTTGTTGATAAATGTGTCAAAATGAACCTAGATTTCTCTTCACTTCATATATGGGTATGGGAGTACATAATAAATGAATAAAATCAAAATTCATATAATCTATTTGTAAACTTCATTAATTGCATGCTCAATTGAACATTTTATCAGACAAAATACTGTACTGATGGAGAAAATGACCACATCAGTCAATACTCAAATTCCCCTTTCTTATAACTACCTCCATCACTATGATGAAACATTTACCAAATTCTGTATATGATTCTTCATAAATGCTGGAGCCCCTAAATCATAATATCAACACTGCATTTAATATGACATTCAGATGTTTTATTTCATTTCATAAAAGCATGAAAAAAAAAGTGCAAACTGCAGTAAAAATAAAAAATAAGAGAAGCAAACTAAATCCTACTATGAATAGTCAAACAAATCTCTGACTAAGGAAAAGGTAGCTAGTAGATGAGGTAGATGAGCACAGAGCAAGCTCATCTTCCTACACAATTGCTTTGGAGAAAAATCAACGCCAGGCGTGAAAAATTGTTCCTGAACCAAGTCGACTTATACCAGAGACAGCCGAGGGCCCCAGGACTGGCACCACTACAAACCAGACATGACAGCGTTGATCTCATCGAAACTTCAAATAGCGAACAATTTTGAGGATATTGATCCAGAGCACTTGTTCAAAAGGTGAAATGTAATAAGAACAAGGATCAATGGTTTCAAGTTCAACAAGACAATGCAGGACAGAAAACAGATGATTTTTCACCCACAGGGTTATAAACCCATGGAATCGCCTCCCCGCTGAAGCTATAAATGCCAATGTACTGCCAAGTTTAAAAATCTGGCTTGATAAAGTCACTAGGACAAATGGGGGGAACCTTCGACAAGCTGCCAGCTTCCTGTCCGCATTGAGGCAACTAGAGATAAGATGGCCGTCGGGTAAATTCATGTAAATTCAGGTAAAAATATTAAATACAATCGCTGGTCAGTATTAATTTCATTATTAATTCAAAGCTTCAGGATAGGCCTTTGTAATTTAAGTACATTAAATTAGCTTTCAAAACTGACACAGTGCCAACTTGTATATAGAAACCCAAGTTTATCAGAAGCATTTAAAGTCCTTTATAAAATAAGGAAGCCTGTCTCTCCCAGAACCAGAGCATTCGTTTACTGCCATATGAGGAGACACGCTGCTGGAGCACCACCCAGCACGTGTACTGTGTGTAATGTGTCATATGCATAATACACCATTAGGAAATCACAATACATTGGGTGAAATGACAATGTCATAATTCCCCAGTGATTGTCCGGCGGTGTCAGGTGCTGGAGTGCCCCTCGGCTCCTGCAGGTGCCGCTCACCACAGCTCCTCCTCCTCCAGGGACCTCCTCGCACCACTAATGTTTCTTCCCCACACAGGCATGACAAACCCCAGTTTGGTCATCTATATATCTCAACCTCTATTCGTCCAGCTGTTAACATAGCAGTACAGCGATACAATAACCTAGATGCGAGTGGGGTTTGGACGCGGGACCAAGGTCTCGCCGACCACCATTGTCACAACACACTCATATTTAGCCCTTCCAGGGGCTTAACCACACCTTCTGTCACTTCTAAAACGTGGATTTGTTCCTCAGCTGCTCGTCGGACATCTGCTTGAGGTGACAAAATGTTGTTTAGGTTCTCTATTAATGCCTCTCTCAGGCCGTTGTTCACCTCAACACCGGCCATGTTTCCTCAAGTCAGACATCACAACATTGGTCCGCCATTCCCGCGTTTTCATCACGCTGACGCTCGCTATGCGCACCCTCTCCCACTCACATTATTTACTGTTCCTCAACCTTTCTCAACACCTTCATTACTTTGAAGAAAATGTTTTAAACATTTAGCGTGAGTAGGAAGCGTTGGTTCATCGCAAATATATGATATAAGACAAATGTTGAATGTGGCGCGAAACACGTGGAGTTTCAAAACTTCATGTGCAGCTGATACTAAAATACATCACGTTTTTTTTTTTTTCATCTTACAAGTAACTAATACACCATAAGTGCAAATTGTTTAACGAAGGAAAGGAAGTTATTAACTAACTACATGACTGTGACCTTTATACTAATTAAGCCAAAACTGTGAATAGACTAGTGATATGTATATGTAAGCAAACTCATCAATGTTGCGACTTGCTTAGCAAAACGAATATTGGCGTTCATTTCCCCATTCTTTATGTTCCTCAGTGGCCTTTTTACACTACCACCCACAGGAAGGACATGGTGTCCACAACCACCCACAGGAAGGACATGGTGTCCACAACCACCCACAGGAAGGACATGGTGTCCACAACCACCCACAGGAAGGACATGGTGTCCACAACCACCCACAGGAAGGACATGGTGTCCACAACCACCCACAGGAAGGACATGGTGTCCACAACCACCCACAGGAAGGACATGGTGTCCACAACCACCCACAGGAAGGACATGGTGTCCACAACCACCCACAGGAAGGACATGGTGTCCACAACCACCCACAGGAAGAACATGGTGTCCACTACCACCCACAGGAAGAACATGGTGTCCACAACCACCCACAGGAAGGACATGGTGTCCACAACCACCCACAGGAAGGACATGGTGTCCACAACCACCCACAGGAGGGACATGGTGTCCACAACCACCCACAGGAAGAACAACTTAGTGCTAGAGTCGACAAAGAAGTTGAAAGTCAGAATAGTTCATATGAAACTCAACAGGTACAAGGCTATAGTAGGTGGGATATAGAGCTAGGCCTCGTTGCCCGGAAACACACTCATAGGTAAGTACTGATAGGTAAATACTCACAGGATTATCACTGGACCAACAGCCACTCACAGGATGGTCGTGGGAGTCCACTACCCATGCACTCACAAGATAAATATCGGTTGCATAATAAATGAACTGAACTAAAACACATTTTACCTTAACCATTTTTGTTTGGATTTAACATCCATTCCTTCAATCCCCGACCGTCCAAGTGGTTGGGCACCATTCCTTCCCCCCGGCCCATCCCAAATCCTTATCCTGACCTCTTCTAAGTGCTATAAAGTCCTAGTGGCTTGGCGCTTTCCCCTGATTAATAAATAAAAAAAAATAAAAAAAAAATTAACATCCATTCTGGAGTTACTTCAATTTTGTTGGTAAGTGTATGTTGTATACATTTACCGAGTATATTAATTTATATGTCAGTGTATATTTCGGAAACAATTAAACATCATAAGATTAAAATGTAATTTGTATTATCTACGATTTATGTTTTACTCTAGTAACGTACAAATGTTGTGTGTGTGAATTCACCTAGTTGTTCTTGTGGGGGTTGAGCTCTGCTCTTTTGGCCCACCTCTTTTGGCCCGCCTCTTTTGGCCCACCTCAATCAACTGGTGTACAGGTTCCTGAGCCTACTGGGCACTATCATATCTACACTTGAAGCTGTGTATGGAGTCAGCCTCCACCACAGACTGTGTGCGTGCGTGCGTGCGTGCGTGCGTGCGTGTGTGTGTGTGTGTGTGTGTGTGTGTGTGTGTGTGTGTGTGTGTGTGTGTGTGTGTGTGTGTGTGTGTGTGTGTGTGTGTGTGTGTGTGTGTGTGTGTGTGGCTGCACCTGAAGACAGCCTCTGGGGTGACCTGTCCACCATCCGGGCCTCGGGGCGTCTCCTTCCGGTCAGCAGGGAGTGAGCGCACCACCAACAGCTGCCAACACCATAAAGGAATGAAACAGAAACATTATACTAACCTAACGGCCATGCATGACCAGCAAAGTATAAAAATAACACGTTATTTATAAACATATATATATAACGTAACATTGTAAGCAGCAGCAGATAACCTTAATTTGGTCGCCTTTCCTACCAGCAGCTTTACCACATCTACTAAGTACAAGGTGATTTGCTGAACCACTAAATCCTTCACATAATTAAAATTCTGCTGCTAACTTGTAATCTAGTCCCTTAATTGTGGCTTGGTAGCCCGGGTACGCGCCCATAGGTAACCTGTTATTGTTGTTTAAGATTCGCTACTTGCAACAAAAAGTTCCAAATAGCACGGGCTATGGTGAGCCCGTAGACTGTCTTATATATCATAGGTAACCCTTTTCTCTGCTGTTCCACGGCACCTGCGCCTGCTGGTGGCTTCAGCCGCGCACCGGTTCACCGCTAGTGATGTCTCAAATATGTGCCTCAGTTTTCACGCATATATCCGCGCTCAGAGATATCAAATATAACTTTATGTCTCCAGGTTTAGTATACGTGGCCTTCACTGCCGTTCTGACGTCACTCGGCGGGGACTATATGCACTATATGGACACTTTTTTTTTCTACCACAGACGTGGCCACACATTTACAATGCTAACCACCATATATACATTTTCTTCTGTCCTCCATGGACAGGGTTAGAGATGTGTTATGGACAGTATGTGTATATATTGAAAATGAAATTGCTATAAGTTTTTTTGAGGTGTAAATACACATTTGGATGAGGTAACTCAAGCTCTATGTGTGTTTATACCTCAATAATCTTATAACAATTTCAATTTCAATATGAAGGTACTACCAACTACCGTATATTACTGTCCATATAGTAATATACGGACATATAGCTACATATTAACTATAATATGCCCACTAGTATTACATTTGATATATTACTTTTGTTGACTTCCAAAGCCCTGCAAGTTCTCGAGCAACTTCTCAGTGCTTTACTCAGCGCAGTACAGTGGTAAAGCACTCGCCATGCGTTTCGCGAGCGCTTTGGCCTGGGTTCGTATCCTGACCGGGTAGGATTGACCCGGAAAGCCTCAATCTTTATCTGTAGCCTCTGTTCACCCAGCAGTGAATGGGTACCTGGTTGTTAAACGATTGGCGGGTCGTATTCCGGGGAAAATTAGGATAAGGACTTGCCCGAAACGCTATATGCGTACTATACAGCGGCTGTATAAGAATGTAATAACTCTTGTATAAATAAATAAATACAAAATATATATCTCAATCGCTAGTTTTAATTATTTGTTCAAAATTGACTCTACCTTGTAAATTATAAATCACTACTAATTCCCAATGCATATCTTAATTATTTTATTGGCTTTAAGACTTGCCAAAGGTGCGATAGGTAGGCTGAGAGAGAACTATCAACATCAGAGGCCCGAGACTGTTCAACACGCCTCCACTACTCATAAGGGGCATAACTGGCCGACCCCTCACAGTGTTCAAGAGCGAACTTGAAAAACACCTTCAAAGGATACCTGATTAACCAGGCTGTGACTCATACGTCAGGCTGCGGGTAGCCGCGTCCAACAGCCTGGTTAGCCAGTCCAGCAACGAGGAGGCCTGGTTGAAGACCGGACCGCAGGGCCGCTAAGCCCCGAAATCATCGATCGCAAGGTAACCGCAAGGTAAGGTGCCCTGAACGCTTTTTTTTTTACACAGGCAAGTACAGGGACAGCCGACTTCTAACTCCTGTTAGCAGGCTGAGAGCTTTACCTTCCCATGCACTGTGGCCCCATCTCTTATGGACCTCTTGTACTCCCACTATTAGCAAAATACAAATCAAAATAAGCTTCAGCTTGCACAAAACACACGTTGGACATTTGATACGCAGTAGCATGACTTCACAAGTGAAAACCTCCATATGTAGGCATCTATACCAGCGCTAATTGTGTTTTGGAAGACGCTAACAAATACTCAGAATTACAACGCACAACAACAACGTCACATTCCTCAACACTGCTCTAAACAGACCCACAAACACGCACAATATCTTCAACACATTACGAGAGAACCACTAATCTCCAGCATGTACACCTACCAGGCATCGTGAACCAAGTTGTCCCAGGACCTAGGGGGGGAATCCCGGTAATCTGACCTCTCCATGACAAGGGAAGGTCAATATACAGTCCTGTAATTCAAGATGCGCGCCAGCATCAGTTGGTAAACAAACGCACATGTCCGCAGGTGGCCTGCCTCGTCACTCGCAGCATCCCACAGTCAGAGAAAATGGTTCAAGGGGATCCTAATGCATTAAAGTATATAAGAACTCTGTACTACTACTATTACTGTTAATACTACTACTACTACTACTGCTACTGTTGCTACTACTACTACAATTACTACTACTACTACTACTACTGCTGCTATTACTACTTTACTACTACAGCTACTGTTACTACTACAATTACTATTACAACTACTACTACTACTGCTACTATTACTACTTCTACTACTACTACCACGAATAATAATAATAATAATAATAATAATAATAATAATAATAATAATAATAATAATAATAATAATAATAGTATTATTATTATTATTACTATTATTATTATTATTATTATTATTATTATTATTAAGTTTTTTGGAATAACTTAATATAATTCACTTAATTATTTATAGGCTTAATGGGTAATACTAAAGGAGAAGTACACTTACATATGATATTTACCTGATTTACCTGAGGGGCACTATCTTTCTAGTGGCCTCGACGAGGACAGGAAGCTGGCGGCTTGTCGAAGGTCCCCCCTCCCATTTATGCAGATGATTCTGTCCGGCTGGATTTTTAAATTGAGCAGTGTTTTGACAGTTGCGGCTTCTGTGGGTAGATCCATGGGTTTACAACTCTTATCAGTGAAACAACATCTGTTTTCCATCTTGCATTGTGGCTTGTTGAGATTCAAACTGTTGCTCCTTGTTCGTGTTACATCTGACATTTTGACGAAGTGGTCTGGATCTATATCCTCCAAATTGT